TAAATGCCTGGTAAAGTTTAACAGAAAAAGTCGGCACTCAGGCTCACAGTCATGTCTCCAGCGTCGTGCATCCCAGCAGTGCCTTCCGCTTGACTCTCACAGTCGATGACCTCGTGTCATCCCAGAAGTGTCGTTCGGCTGCCTCTCAAGTCGATGAGCTCGGAGCATTTGACCGTTGTCGTCCAATCGCCTCTCGAAGTCGATGGGGTCGTAGCATCTGACTCCTGTCATCGAGTCGTTGCTACCTCGGTTGACACCACCCTCCGCTGCCATCAAGTTGTTGCGACCTGGGTTGACGCTATCCCACCGCTACCATCTAGTTGTTGTGACTCTGGGTTCCGCGGGTCTCAGTTTGGTAGAGGGCCCCCGTCCTGGGACTCATCGTCGAACAAGTCAGATGAGGCGATCGTAATAATGACAACAATTTATTTACATGGTTAGTAACTGAGAATTCGAAAGGAGGTGATCGAGTGATCAAGTGCGAGAAGTCAAGAACTGTACAGGAGAACTGTTGAACTGTGGAACTTCAAATATACAAAAGTATTCCGCTTATATAGCGCGCGTTTCCAACCTTGAGCACATTGTCCGCGGCTTCAGCCAATACGGCGCTCTATGGTCTAGGTGCTCCACCCACGAAGGAGGGGAAAGACACCGCACAATGCATGTGGAGAGGGCACGGTCTACACGATTCCCAAATATAGTCACAAATGCACTGCACTGACGTTTCGCACACGTCGACAAGATTTCGCCCACGTCCCATGATTTTAGATGGCCTTGCTTTCCAAGAACTCCTTTGGCAGTTGGGGTGAAGTTCGGAAAACCGGCTCCCAGTACACGTGTCAAACTTGCCTGACTGCGTTCAGGTAGGACAATGTAGTGGCCCGCCAGCATATCGTCAAAACATGCCACTCCACTCAGCCGATCTTATGGAGAAAAGGGGAAGGAGGAGTGGTCGACTAATCCCTCGTCGTCGAGGCGGGCTCCAGCAAGGGCTGCAGCAGATAGTGCCTTTTCCTTTCCTTCAATCACACATTCCATTCCCACACATCCTATTCCTCATTGTTTGCTAGAAGCTGCAGCCTAGCTGCGAATATCCGAAGCTTGGCTTCTCCTCGCAAGGTGCAGCCACAACCAGTTTGGTTTTAGCTTTCAGCCCAAACTGCAAATACCACGCTGGTTCGGATCTTTCCAGATCCTCGGTGACCTCGAAAATGGCCCAGCTGCTTCCATGTTTGGCTCGTGCGTTTTCTTTGCGCGAACCGGTCTTGGACCTCTCGTTCACGTCTTGATGACAGGAAATCAACCTGTCTTGACGGCACATCTTGGAATGCATCGAAATATTTTCGTTCTGTTCACAAAGGCTGAAAGACTTAAATATGGATTACGGTCATAACAACACCAATAAAAACTTTTGCTAATGAATATTTACTTGCTTGGAACCAAATGGCCCTTACTTTTTGAATGAACTTCAAAGTTTTTATGCTTTGCATTGACAGATAACTAAATGAGTTCTTTTTTTGTGCCAATGGTGCATAGTTATCAAAGACACTGCTCAAACGATGGACAACGGCAGAAGCTGAAGTCACATTTTTATTCTTCACTACTTCCTAACTGTCTGCCTCACTCTTAACACAGGTATCATACAAAACTAGTCCTTCTGGCTACATATTTCATAGCAATATCAAGGAAATAGCTGTTATTAGACATTTAAATTATCGACATGTATAAACACTGGCCAACTTTGATTATACCTACTAAGTGCACTCAGTAATTGTTCAGTTCAAAATTATTATACCTTTAAAAATGCCTTGTCATGCATCAGGTATTTTACAAAGAACAAATATTATTACAGTAAAAGGTCGTTATTTGAACTCAGTTAAGTAAAAGTGCACAGCCCTGTGTATTTCTATTGGGGGAAATCTCTCGACAATTTGAACACATTGGTATCCACAACAGCTAATTCAAACTAGGAACCACTTGTTTTCGTTACTGCTCGCACAAATCTGTCTAGAGTGATCACAACATTTTGCAAAAGCAAACCAAGCTAAATTTACTAGAGGAGGAAAACAACTGAACAGCAGCTTTTCTCAGCAGATGAGATTTCAGATGCTGAACTGGAGCCCTTGGACAAGCTAGGAATGATGGTCATGGAGTCACAGTGGAATGAATGCAAGCGAATGCAAATTACTGATTACTTCTCATTTTGATTGTGTTAACTTTGTCATGTAAACAAACATGTTTCGAAGCACAAATATTGACATACGTTTAAACACTAAGGCTCACTGCTTGCGTGCATGTCGGTGCTTGTTTTTGGCGTATCATCAGCCTGATTACACCCACTGCAGGACAAAGGCCTCTCCCATGATCAGCAAATCAACTTGGTCCTGTGCTTTCTGCTGCCACGTTACACATACAAACTTTTTAATATCATTAACCCACCTAACCTTCTGTCTTCACTTCATGCATTTTCCTTCTCTGTGAATCCAGTCAGTTACCCTTAATGATCAGCAGTTATTCTGCCTGCATACTACGTGGCCAGCCCATGTCAATCTCTTCTTGTTGATTTCAACTACGATATCCTTAACACCGATTTGTTCCCTAACCCACTCTGCTCTCTTCTTGTGTCTCAAGGTTACACCTATCATTTTCCTTTCCATCGCTCGCTGCATCATCCTCAATTTAAGCTGAACCCTCTTTTTGTAAGTCTCCAGGTTTCTGCTCCGTAGGTAAGTATGGGCAAGACGCAGCTGTTATATACCTTCCGCTTGAGGGTTAGTGACAGATTATCATTCATGATTTGAGAATGCTTGCCGAATGTGATCCACCCATTCTTATTCTTCGTTATTCTTCTAGGTATTTTACTCTCATGGTTCGGCTCCGCGATTGCTACCTCTGCAAGACATGTCTTGCCTAATGAAGGCACGAGTTCTTGCACAGTTTTTTTTATAACTTTGATAGTGTCACTACCAACATGCATGCAGTATCAGTAACTGTTTCAACACTACTATAGTTGTATCTACCACCGCCTTGAAACAATGTTTACATTCACAGCAATCTATACACAATGTGCAACAGAAGTGCTGCTAAATATGCACTACTACAAGTCCATTTGTTACCAAGTTATATGTGATACTCTATGCAAAGCTTGACTTGTAGAGTGAAGTACAGTATGTGCACCCCTTGACATGCACTGTCCAAGAATTTTGAAGCCTGTGCATTTCCTGTAAACTGAGTAATTCATAAAGCAAGAAAGAACAGTCTGTGCACCCAATTTCGAACAGCTTGAACATACCATAAGCTATCACTGCTTTTCAGTATAAGGCTTCCATTTGTCCACCTTGCATATTGTTGGCGCATGGGGTTGTCGCTATGGCAACTGTAGAGCTTCTTACGACTTGATGTGGGTAGCTTGGAAATCAATGGTCTCTCTTTAGTCGAGTTTTCTGAGAAGACAAAAAAAAAAAAAAAACAGACTCATGAGCAGGGTAAGACAGAAATGGTTGAACAAATTATGGTCAATAAATAAAGTGCCTTCAACTCAACCATACCTTGCGAGGATTTTGGCCTGTGAGCTTGCTTTCAGTGATGACACATTCTCCGCTGACTTGAGGTAGGTTCAGAGTGATGAGGCATCCAAGCGTACACTGATATGAGCAGTTCCTTGGAGGCCGCGGTTGGGTTGTAAGAAAAAAAAAAAAAAAAGGTTACTCTGGTAGAAGCGTGAACGGATTGGCGATGCATGACTAAGAAGAATGTATATGGGAACACTGCATATAAGAAAGGTAGTGTGTACATAACATTGCTATTTTTGTGAATTTGTCTTCTGGATGGCATTATAATGAGTTTGCTTTATTGACGTTCTTCAGAGGACAAAGCTAGGTAATTCCCCAACTGGATGGACTATATGGTTCATGCAAATGTGATATGCTTGATTCCAAGCTTGAGCAGAAACAGATAGAACTTATGCTGTTATCGGTGCTACAAATTTGAGCAGTAAAGACATTTTCAGCGAATGTGACAACGAAGTAAACAATCTCAAACATTCACAAGGTGTGCATCTCATTAGCTGTACATGTCGAAAAGCCTTGAGAGATGACAAAAAACTGTAGCGCATGCAATATAAAAGGGCCATGTTCAGATGCAAAGCAGCGCATTTTCACTCACCGGCGAACATGCCCACATTGTGCAAGATTATTCCGTCTTTGTAGGCAGTCTCCGAGCGAATTTGCCGGCGTTGAATTTTCACGCTGGAGGCTGCGCAACCGGACGTCGGTGAAGCACAGCAGCTGACATGGTTCACAGCCTCTAGATACGTTCTTTTTGTCGTAGCGGCCCGTAAAGTCTGACACACAAGCTCGCATTGATATATCAAAGCTGAATTAAAACGAAGCTTCGCAATGCCGATCGACAAAAAAGTACCGCGGACAATTTGAACAAATTAACCGACAGAAACGCAATCGATGCCAATGGGCTGCTGCTTTTCGAGTGTCAAGATTGTCTCAATACTTAAACTAAAACAATCACCGCTCTTCTATTACTAATAAAAATATAACAAAAATGTTTTATTTAATGTTTTATCACAAAAGACATAGCAACTATTTTTTAAGAATTTTTTAATACTTTCTCAAATAAAAAGTTCAGCCGCGTTGATCGCCCCTAATAGGAAAATTGCACACTAACTTTTTTGACCGCTGTACTTACACAGTTAGTAGTTCCACTATACGTGCACATGAAGAAACTCGCCGCGGTCGATTTTTTTACCCTCTACAGCCATCGCGAGAACTTGAGAGTTTTCGGGGCCTTTGTAGGCGTAAGTTCAGTCAGAGACGAAGTCCCCGGCGAACGCGGACGCGTTTATCCCCAGCGCTCTTGCCAGAAAGCACCTAGACGCTGACAGAGGAAATGGCGCATGCGCCATAAGCTACCAACGTTAAAACGTATTGAATATTTTGTTTTTTTTTGCTCTTTTTTGTTCTTGCATTTTTTGTTATTTTGTTTGGTTCAGAATTTGTTTCAACCAATGGGAAGACAGAGTTTTTGCCATGTGACTAACGTCACCGCCATTGACTGAAATCGTGCGTTAGGCCGGACAGCGGTGTTGCCTGTGCTGTGTCTCGGAGTTTAGCTTTGGTTTCGTCCAATGTTTTGCTGAGCCCACTTTGCGAAATTCCAAGTGCAGTGCTTCAACCGCAAGTAACGCTCATATTAGCGAGCACGATGTCCGGTCGTCGGGGCTCGGTGACGGACAGTGGACACCGAGCGTCCATCCAGCCAGTCTTGGAACCAACGCCGCCATTGGCCAAGCGACGCTTCGTGCACGGCGGATTGCAGTAGCATTTTCCTACACCCAGTGTTCGCGCTGCTGTTCATCAACGATGGAAGTCGAGACGCACGTCGATAAAGACTGCAGCGCGCTTGGCAGCTTATTTCAATACATCGTCAATGACCTGAAGGTGAGCGAATGTTTTGAATCATGAAAGTTATGCATGCTGCAGCGCATGCAGCTTGTGCTTCGGCGGTACTTAATATTTATTGTGTTTCACTATATGTGCTGATACATTATGGAAGGAAGGATTCATACTTTGTACCAAACGGTCCGGCGTAGTACCTGCGTGTGTCTGTAAAAGGCGAATTTTCGTACTATAATTTATTACTCAAAACGTCGTTTCTACTCGAATGGTTCATCCCTGTGCGTCCGCAATGTATTGAATGCTGTGCAGATCGGTGCTTCGTACATGTTGGAGCATTTTGCACCTCACACTACAAATCGGCCTGACGCTGTCTTCGTATGAGATTGTAACACACTCTAAACAAGGTACTCCTAGTCAACATTCGTAAAGAAAGAACCGTCACTTTCTGTTGGGAAGCCTACTAAGTGGTCGTTTATATAAGGACGCCTGTAATTTTTATTTACCTTTTGCTTAATAACCAGTATTGTTTTCGTTAGTAATGTGTGGCTTCAAAAAAAAAAAAGACAGATAAATGTGTGTACTATTACTTTCGCTGTAGTGCGTTGGCCTTGGCGTCAGAAATGTATACTTTAGGTAGTGGCTAGTTCATTTGTTAACGGTTCGTGCTACCACTATAACTGGTTTTTTGATGCACTTTGTCTCGTATATGTGTAGCCGTACAGAAGTTACAAAACAAAAACACCAGGTGACGAGAGAACTAAATGTTATTCGTACTTAGAAGCGACTCTGCGTATTTGTGTTGGCGTTCATCAATATCGTCATTACGAACGTCATGAATTGTGTGTGCGCTTGTTGGACCGCTGTTAGTTGCCTGTGTTCCTTAGTGACTTTGCAACTACATCAGGATACCAAGAAATAACCATCTTCGGGATCACAGAAGTTATTGCTTGTGCTTTGTAAGTTCTGTGATCTCAAGTTGCCTTGTTGTTGATAGCAGAGTAGTTCATGCATGCACCTGTGTACTGTTTTCGAAACGCCTACCTATTATGGGGCGTAGTTTCGCGTTTTCAGTTACACCGTAAAAGCGGGCGCACGTGGGCGTGCCTGGCAAGGCTGTCTGAGGTGTGTGCTCGTTTGCGCAATGTGCCGCGGTCTGAATGAGATTAGGCCAGCTCGCTTTCTGAGCAGGTGTCGAGGAGGATGCCGCCAAAGTGTGGACCGCGACGGCAGCTGTGAACCATTATGCACACGTGAAAAATAACAAAATATAATATCTGTATACAATGAGTGAATAAATGATGCGTTAATACTGTTAACTCCGTGTGGTAATACGAATCGCTTGCACTTGCCCGAAATGTATTAACAGATGTTTGGCATGCAATAAAGCATACATTCTTTGTGAAACCGTGTTTGAGAACCCGCGCGAGAGTTTACTGTCAGGCTAGCTTGTACAGAATCGACCAAATCTAATGTGAATGCCTAATAACTTTAAAGCCGGTCAAACTAGAAAGGCTATTAAGCTTCACGAGGGAAAAGTCCTCCAAATGGCACCTTATCGTGTTGTCGATAAAACACAATAATTTTTTGCATTGTGCATTAAACACCAGCTTCTATGAGCTTCTGAGGTGTTCATCCTTCAGGTGTACGGCCCCGCTAATGTATAACGGAAAGAAGCTATCTTTATTCTGTTGTGATTCGAACTAATTTTTCGTAGGGTACTGGGGCGTACTATCTGCCTGATGCTTCAAGGTGATTGCGTTGTAATAAGCGAATGTTTATTGGTTTAATGTCCCGAAGCGATTTCTTGTGGCTGATAAGACACCGGGTACGGTAGGTTGAGTAAACCCACGAACTTGTATGAAGCCGCAGCAGAACGCCGTAGCCATTGTGTTGACGCAGCTGTTACTTTGCTTGCATCTGTGAGGGAAACAACTTTATTGGGTCCACAATAGACGCTAGTTAAATCAGCGTCACCTGGCTGGGCCCACTCGGGCCTAGGCAGGTGTTGGGAAGTTAAAGCTGCATTTCTGACGAATTTTAATGGGTAGTGGATTGAGCAACACAGACGAGGTGGTGGTGGGGGTTGGAAGAGGAGAAAGACACCTAATTTCTGCAGCCCGGTCGGGAGCACGGCGCATTGCCTTGAGACGAGGTACAAGGGACGCAATCCACGATCCGGCAGCTGTGCCAACGCGTCCAATCTTCAAAAAATAGCAAGTATAACGAATTATTTGAGGGTTGTCTTGGACCTTGCAGGCGTTGTGTATACTGAGGCAGCACGAAAAAAAAAAAAAAGTGCGCTACTTGATCCACAGCAGTCCATTCACGTTAAAACTGCGAACAAAAAAGTAATAAAAAAAAACAACGTTGTTATTACGACTTTGTGTGTTCATAGCCGTGTGTGTGAGTAAAGCAATGGTCATTAATTTAACGCAATGTTAAAAAATTTGTGTGAATCACATCTGTGTATCGTATATCGTAAACTGGCGTGCTGCTACTTTCCAAGTTTCTCTTATTAGTCTTCAAGGTATATTACGCGTCAAGTTTTGTTTCGCGTTTTCCGAAAAAAAAAAGTTTTTCTACCCATGAGTTAGTAATGTAGATGGCGTAACACAATGATTTTATCAGCATTTGATAAGAAATGCGCGCACTGCTTTTGTCTTTACACGTCGTAGGGGTCTATATTGGTTACGTTGCTCGACTACTGACCCGAATTTAGCCGGATCGAACCCCGGGCGCGGCGGCTGCATTTTCGACGGGAGGCCGCATACTAGAGGCCCGTATACTAAGGTTTAGCGCTTGTGTTTCGTGTGCTCCGTCTTGTGATCGTTTTGCCTCGCGGCCGTTTCGTAATTATGAACCCTTACCAACAAAAGCAGTTGTCAGCTCTTCTAAACGTTTAGGTGCACGTTAAGGAACCTCAGGTGGTCGAAATTCCCAGAGCCCTTGACGACCCGGTGCCTCATAACGACGCCGCGATTTAGACATGTATAACCCCCAAAATTATTTATCCGGCCGCCTTCGGCAAGACTTGCTCGCTCAGTGGCGTGGTTCTTGATTTGTGGGGACCGACTTGGTTGCGCAGTGACGGAATTCGCGTTGGAAAATAACGCTGGAGTCGCTCGATACGTTGCGCACGGCGGATATCTCTTGAGGCCAGAGAACCGAAATGCGTGCGCTTTTGCATTGAGTCAGTACCGCTATTTCCGTTTGCGAAGTCACGACAAACGAGTGCAGCACAGCTGCGCTGATAAGCGCGTCCGGCTGGTCGCGACCAAGGCTACCACGTGTTGCCCCATCGCGCATCGGTTGGCGGCGAACTATGGCCGTAGCGCTTACATGAAATGTCATGACGGGACTTTTGTTTTGATAACGGCCGTCTCGAGTGTGGCTCTTTATTTGTGGGCCCCTGAAGCCGCACGGCGGTATGCGGTCGAAATGGGTCGCGGCAGACCATTTCGGGAGCCCATTGGGAACCGGAATGGGCTGCCGCGAGAACCGGCGCACCAGTCATTGTGCTGCCGGCGAGACTCCTCCGATGGAGAGCGGCAGGCACCGCTTCCGGCCAGTGTGCGTCTCGCCGCGTCGTGACCTTCTCGCGAGACGACCCTGTTGTCGCGGTGTTGTGCTCGTCCGTGGCATTGCGGTCGAACTGTTCACGTGGTGCGTTCACGCTGTTTTACGTGCCAAAAGCACAATATCACCATGAGTGAAGGGCTCCGGGAAATTTGACGATCTGGTGTTTTTGAACGTGCACTGACATCGCACAGTGCTCGGGCTCCTACCATTTCGCCTTCATCGAGACGCAGCGGCCGGGGTTGGACGTTCGGGTCAGCAGCCGAGCACCGCAGCCTAATTATGACTTTATGGTTATTGTGCAAGGTCAGAAAGCGACAAGCCACTGCGTTTGCGTTGACTGTGCCCTGCTGCGTAATCGCTGAGGATTAGTTGTTTGTTGCCCCGTAATTTGCTAGCCGTGGTAGCTGGTCTAGGGCACGGGTTCGATTCCGAGCCACAGCGGCCGCGCGGATGGAAAGCAAAAACGTCGGTGTACTTGGGTTCAGATGCGGGTTAAGGAACCCGAGGAGGTCGCGATTGTTCCGGATTTCCCTTACGTCAAGCGTGTCGTATTTCTCGGTACTTATACAGAAGTACTCGGAGTACTTTTTTTTTTTTTGCGCAGCCTTTCAGTAGATTATTCACTATAATTTTGTGAGCCGCTTGTCAGAGTTTGTGGTTACGGTAAAACTGCTATAATGCCATGCGCTCTTCCTGCCCTTCTGCATGGGCTGCAGGCTCGCGCTTTTTTTCACTGTCTCTGGCATTTGCTGGTGATTTACAAATCGACTGTGCTATTAGGGCGCACTCTCCGTAGCGCGAGTTGGGCAGCGCTGCAGAAATAAGCGTACAACGATATTGGCGAATGCAGCTTTTCGCACAGTGATGCCGACACATTAACGAGAGCGGCTGCACGCATCCAACGTGTTTCCCAAAGCGGGAGCGGCAGGTGTGTTGTATTGCTTAGTTATCATTAACAAGAAACAAAGCAAACTTTTTTTTTTTTTGGAAATCTGGCACGTCGTGGCCTCTTGTAATAAGTTGCTGCATGCGGGAATGTTCGTGGCCGAAGTCGGGAGCCATTTCGCGGCACAGCTTCGACATATGCTGTGCATTTATTATCGCTGCAAGGCCGATAAACAGGTTCACTGTGTCCTTGGTGGTGTCATTTTTATTGGTGTTTGCGGTTTCGTACGCTTTACCTTCTATAAACCTGGTGAAATCAATTGCGTCCCGCACTGCGACCGCTGTGCTTGTTAGTTTCCCTGTAGGGATTCGATCCCAATTCTGTATATTTATAGAATTATACAAGATCGAGTATATGACCGTACATAGTCTGCACGAGTTATGTCTGTTTTTGTAGAGTGAATTCGCACGATTAGCGCGCAGTTTTCGCGCTTCGCGCCTGTAGAGATGGCTCCAAGGGAAGGAGGGGGGGGCGCTGCGCATCCGCCTTTTGCCAGGATCATCTGTGGCTGGTTTTA